TCTAAATATCAACTGAGGCTTTCTTAGAGAGAAGGAGCCTAAGCTTGCACTTGAGCATGAGCCCATGCCCTGGGTTATGCTCAGACTGTGCACTGAAAAAATTTCCATGAACTCTGCCTCCTAACAAGGGAAATAGAATTCTTCTGATTCCAAAGAGCCACTGTCACTTTGTGGTAAAAATAAGAAAAAAAAAAAAAAAAAAGTTCATTATATTGCAGATTTCTATATCTTTGTTTTATTGGTGTATTTTAGAGATAATTTATGTCATAAAATTCAACCAAAACTATACACAGTAATGAGGACAAAACTACTTCTGTTCTATCTTTGCACCTTTGTCTAACAACCTATTTGATGTCACATTACTTGATCTATATTGTGCCTATAGATCTAAATGAAAATCTGTGAGAATAGGTATATCTTATTTGTAGTCCACTGTGCTGATGTAATCTGTTTTTTCTTCTGAGCTGAGCTTGCACCAAGACTTTTAACTGCTGGCATCTAGAAAAACCTTTCCAGAGCCCATTTGGGCATCCATTTCCTTGCCAGTCTCGAGAATCTCTTTACATTCCTTCAAGTTCCTAGAAGCGATTTTTAATTGCTGCACAGAATGGGTATTAGGCATTGCATGTAGTCTATCTCAGTTTGGCTTTCTCCTTTGCTTCATTCCTGCTATTGAGTCTAAGCTGATACTGATTCCAGCTTCCTCAGCTGTTGCTGTTCTGTTGTGTTTCCTGCTTTCTGCTTATGTTTATGTTCCTACAAGATCTTCTTTGGGATGTTCTGTGAAATGGAGGGGACATCAAGGCAGTACTGACTGCATTCCTCATCACTGGCAAGCTCTTTTACTGGATGCTCTGATTCTGTGTAAAGTGTTAGTGTACATGGTCTGAACTTTATTCTTTACAAAGAGAAGTTCTTTTGTCACTTCAGTCTTTACAGTACTAAAGTATTCTATTGCTGCAGTGAGCTGTTAGGTAGAATTTACAAATAAGTTTCTGATTCTGTCAAATTACATGCACTTCAGGTCATTGAGGAAACTGTGTATCTCTTTTCTCCACTAAACTCCAGCATTCCATTACAACAGATCTCATGTAAGGTTCTTCTTCTAAGCACCTATGCATTCATCTTTCAGGCATTGCTGTCTGCACGTGAGACCACTTAAGTCAGATAGCTATAGTTACTTAGCAGTTTATAGCAAATATCAAGTATATGCAAGTCTTATGTATGGTAATACATTCTGAAAGTCCCACAATTTTAATGATACAGAGACTTGAAGTTGTCTCCTTATCTAATTTATTTAGAATAGCAAATAAATAATGTAATAGCATCGTAATTGAAATAGAATGTTGCATATCAGCATCTTTCATAGTGGCTATAAGTAGTTCTCATAGAATGGAAACAGAAGTAAATAGAAATGTCCTAGGGTTTTAAAATACTCTTATCAACTGCACTAAATGCTCATTTCATCTTGTACATTTAAGTCAGTATCAGCTTGTGAGACTTGAAAAAATTTTATAATGGTAAAATCAGAAAAGTCTTTCTAAGATCCTTGCCTACATGAAAAACTCCTTTTGGTTTAATCAAAAATATGATGATAGTATCAAAAAAAACCTGATGTGAACAGTACAGAGCCCTCTGAGAAGATTCTCAGTTCAATCTACAGCGGGATGATTTCTTCTTTAATATCAATTGCTTAAGACACTTTTTTGTTCTAAATGACACAAAAAATAGGCTAGTTTTTAAATTACTTAAGTGTCCAAATGGTTGAAGTGTAATTGTCTAATTTTAAAACTGACTGACCAGTTATATTGCTGCCTCTTACAAATCCTTTTTATTAAGACACTATTGATCATGCTTGCCTGTAGCAAAAGTATTGGAATAGCTGAGAAAAAACGTTCTTCTGTTTTGATAATAGTTTATTCTCAATAGAATTGAAGAATTCTTCTGTGGATGAAAATTTGAAGCTTCAAATAGCACATTTTCATAAAAAAAGGAATCTTTGTTTACCTCCGAGAGACTACAGAAGAACAGTCTGATGGCTCCATGAACTACTTTGTTCATTTACATGCAGTGGATGTTTACATTCAAAGTGTACTCAATTCATCTAATTAAATCTTATTCCAATACATTTTGGTACAACAGAGATAGAGGCTTCAGTGAGGCTTCAGGGATGCACCTGGTCTTGATGGAAGTAGGAAATAAGTTTTCTTCATTAAGAAAGATCTCAGAATCACAGAATTGCAGAGGTCGGAAGGGACCTCTAAAGATCATTGAGTTCAGACCCCCTACTAAAACAGATTCCCTACAATAGGTCACACAGGTAGGCGTCTACATGGACTTTAAATCTCTCCATAGAAGATTTACAACCTCTCTGGGCAACCTGTTCCAGTGGTCCATCACTCTTACTGTAAAGAAGTTTTTCCACATATTTGTATGGAACTTCGTATGTTCAAGTTTTAGATTATTGCTATTTGTCCTATCACTACACACCAGCAAGAAGAGCCTGGCCTCATCCATTTGCCTCTTATTTCTCTTTAGATATTTATAAGCATTTATCAGATCCCCTCTCAGTCTTCTTTTCCACAAGCTGAAGAGACCCAGGTTACTCAGCCTTTCCTAATAAGGGAGATGCTCCAGGCCCTTTATCATCTTTGTGACCCTTCACTGGACTCCTTCTAGGAGATCCCTGTCTTTTTTGAACGACGGAGCTCAGAACTGCTCAATGTATTCTAAATGTGGTCTTACCACAGCAGATTAGAGGGGAGGATCACCTTCCTCCACCTGCTGGCCACATTCTTTTTAGAGCACCCCAGGATCTCATTGGCCTTCTTGGCCACAGGAGCACACTCCTGGCTCATGGCCAACCTGTTGTCCACCAGAACCCCCAGGTCCCTCTCTGCAGAGCTCCTCTTCAGCAGGTCATCCTGCTGTGCTGATGCATGCAGTTATTCCTCCACAGGTGCAAAACTCTACACTTGCTCTTGTTAAACCTCATATTGAGATTGAATAAACATTTAATATTTAATCCTGATAGATATTAAAATAATAATAATTAAAAATAATTATTAAAAATCAGTAGATCTGAAAAAATACAAAAATATCTAAATATCTATATTTGAAATATTGAAATATAAGAAACTAAAAATAAGACCCTTCCCATTTATTTTTTAAATTAAAGTACTAGCCAATCTAGAATCCAAGGTTTGTGCTAATGATGTGCAGCCACAGTAAAGAATGAGTGGTAAGGGCTATGCAGGAAAGAGCTATGATTTGTTCAGTGTATTCTTATGTGGGTATGTGAGAAAGAACTGCACAAACACTTTTTTTTTGTCTTTCTACAAGCAGAAAGATTAATTTTTGATGTCAGCATGGGTGTGGGTCTTGAGATATCAAGACTCACAGCAGTACTTACACTTTCTAGTCAGGGTCATGGTCTTATCATCCTGTGCAAAGGCACTGTAATAGGGAGTCATTGTGGCAAAGCCTTAGTATACAAGTGAAGTAAACTTGTAAATCAAGAGGAAAGAAGAATTATCCTTTAGGATCCTGTTTAGATTTCTTGTCCAGTGCACACAGGCATTCTGTTATGTAGAAGAGAAACTTCAGTGACCTAGTGAATTCCAGAAGTTTTACTAGCTTACATCCTGGAAGCCTTACTGTATTTTTATGTTTTCTGTAGAATAACTGAACTGGTCCAGAAGAAAACCATATGAGAACTCCATTTAACAAATTCCAGTTTAATTTATCTCTTTCAAGCTGCATTAATCATGTTTGAGGTTTGGCCCTGCTGAGCTCTTCCGAAGTAGGTAATGGTTATTAGCGTTAAAGAGCTAAAGTTCAGCCTAATGGAACATGACAGCCCCAGTGCACTGAATTCCAGATTGCTTGAAGTCCTGATATTAAGAAACTTTCAAGTCACTGAGGAAAACTTTGGTAAACCAGTTTATCAGTATGTACCAACTCTGAGGAAAGCACGCATGTATCTGAAGGGTGAAAGGCAAAATGTGCATGAATTCTGGAATCAAATAATCAATGAACTCAACATTATGGAAATGATGTTCCAGAATGCAACATCTGAGATTGTGCACATGTTTTTTTGAATTAGAGTGCTGACTTTGAAAGAAGCTTTAAAGCACCTCTAAAATTCAAAAGTAACACTCAGGAAAAGTGAATTTTTGGAATTCATGTAGCATTTAAGTGTTCAAATGAATATAAATCAATGAGTATAAATAATATATAAATTATGGGTATAAATTAATTCTTCTTTTGTCTTCTCTGATTCAGTGTAGCCATTCAAGTACTGGTTAATGATTATACTGATATTGTAAATTAGATTGTTCTGTAGGGATCATAATCATCTTCACAGTGTAGAAACACCCATTTTCTTTGATGGCTCTTCTGTCATTCTATTATTATAAGTTTCACTAGTGAGTGTATCTGGTTGGTTGATGCTTGGGAATGCTAGGTGAGTTATTGTTTCTATGCAAGAGACACGTCTTCACACTTCATTAGGCATTTCTTTTGTTTCCTGGAGTGGTGGAGGGTTATCTCCATAGTGCACCAACATCTCATGACGTTGTGTTATGGGATTAGAGCAAGAGCCTTGATGGAAAAGAAAACAGCTCACTTGTAATCTTAGCCATTACCTAAGAATACATTTTGGGGATGTTGCATTTGCTGTCACCCCTACCAATTCCTGATGGTGAGGGAATGCCAGGCTGCTCCTGGAAATCTCCAGTAATCTGCCAGTGCTAGAGGTATCCAGAAAATGTTTGACTGGGCAGGCAATGAGTATTTAATAGAAATATTTTATGAGTGAAAATAGTATGTTTGTCCCTGGTGTAGAACTTAGCATAGGTTTAGGAATGGCTGGAGGTCCCCAAGGCTGGCACCTGTGGAAACAGTGGTTGAGACAGTTAATATATATTTAATATAAAATGGACAGCTATATTTTATCTGTCAGTAACTCTGCTCTGTATCTTTTTACATTATTATTCTAGGTGTCCAACTCCTGGGTGTGATGGTTCCGGACATATTACTGGAAATTATGCTTCACATCGAAGGTATGTAAAGAGGAGTGTTTGTTCTTTAAATCAATCAAATAAATGGCTATGTGGGAGTTCAACAGACCTCTCTTCTCTCTTTCAGCTCTGAAGTAGTATTGAGTGCTTTAGGTCGACATATGTTGGTCTAACTCATTCTACATATCATGAATGAGTAACATTTCTCAGTTTCAGCATGGCTCGCTACCCAAAAAGGCAGGAAGATTTTTTTAGTATCTAGCAGAATCTTTGTATAAAAATAATGCAGTTTTTTCTCCCTTCTCTGTTAGTCAAGATAAGTAATTAAATATTTATAAATTTATATTGCTTTACATTCTGAATAACTTCCCCATTTTCTGCAGTCTTACCTTTTCTGGACTGAAACGCTGTTCCTGCATTTTTTTCCCCCTGATTGTTTTTTGTCAGTCACTTCAGAATCTCTCCGTATTTCTTTAAATGTGAAATTGAACTAACTTGTTTACTGCCTCTCTCACCTGAAGTCTTAAATCATAGAATCATAGAATCACAGAATTGCTAAGGTTGGAAAAGACCTTAGATCATCAAGTCCAGCCTCAACCTAACCATACTACCCTAACTCTAACAAGCCACCACTAAATCATGTCCCTGACCACCAAAGCACCTGTTGCATCTGATATGCACCAGACTTGTTAATATACTTCAGAATAAAGTTTGGCTTGTTTTTAAATCACGATGAATTGCTTATAATTATGTGAAGTCTGAAGAATGGAAAGAGAAATTTGTGGAGAAAAGCTGTTACATTGTCTGCCTATAAAAGGGATCCTTACCAAAGGCCAAAGGAAGCAGAGGGGGCCTCACAAGGGCAGAGTAGAGGGGGTTAATCACCTCCTTCTCATTGCTGGCCAATCCTCTTTTCACACAGCCCATGATCAGTTGGCCTTACAGGCTGCAAGCACATGCTGTTGGCTTGCATCAAGCTTTTCATCAACTGGAACTCCCAAATCTTTCTATGTAGGGCTGCTCTTAATTAGTTCTTGTTCCAGTCTGTACACATATTTGAGATTGCCCCAACTCAATTACAACACCCTGTACATGGCTTTGTTGAACCTCATCAGGTTCACGTGGACCCATTTTTCATGCTTTTCCAGATCCACTCAGCTTTGTGTCATCAGCAAATTTGCTGAGGTTGCATTCAATCCTGCTATTCAGGCCATTGATAAAGATATTTAAGAGCACTGATCCTGAGACAGGCACCTGGGGGACACTACTCATCATCAGCCTCCATCTGGACATGGAGACATTGACAACAACCATCCAACCAATTCCTTATCCACTGAATAGTCCACCCTTAAAATCTAGATATTTCCAATTTAGAGATAAGAACGTGAAGTGGGATCATATCAAAAGTCTTGCATAAGTCCAAATAGATGACATCATTTGCTTTTCCCTTGTCCACTGGTGCTATCATTTCATCATGTAAGGCCAGCAGACTGGTCAGGCACAATCAGCCCTTGGTAAAGCTGTGCTGTCTGTTTCAGATCACCTCCTCGTCTTGCATGTGCCTTAACATAGCCTCCAGGAGGATCTGCTTCATGATCTTCCCAAGCAAAGATATTAGTCTCATTGGACTGTAGTTTCCCAGATCTTCCCTTCTACCTTTCTTAAAAATTTGAGGCTTCTTTTCCTTATTGCAGTCAGCAGCCATGACTTTTCAAATATAATGGGGATTGGCTTGGCAACTACATCAGACAGTTCTTTCAGGATCCTGAGATGCTTGTCATCAAGTCTCATAGACTTGTAGACATTCAGTGTCATCAGGTGGTCTTGAAATTGCTCTTTGTTTACACTGGGAGGGATTTAACTCCTCTGACCCATGCCTAGATGTTCAGACTTGAGAGATGTGGGAAGCCTTACTGCCAGTGAAGACCAGCAGTAGAAGAGTTCATTGAGTACCTCAGCCCTTTCTTTGTCCATTGTTGCCATTTCTCCTTTCTCATTTATCAGAAGGGATACATTCTCCTTGATCTGTGTCTTCTGATCAGTGCATCTGAAGAAACCCTTATTATTTTTCATATCCATTGCCAAATTCAGTTCTATCTACTCCTTGTCTTTCCTGATTCTATCTCTGCATGTCCAGACAGCATCTCTGTGTTCTTCCCAAGCCACACATCCCTACTTCCCCTGCCTGTGCATTTCCTTCTTATCCCTCAGTTTTACCTGCAGGACCTTATCCAACCATAGTTTCCTACCTCCTCTGCTTGATTTCTTATGTTGGGGGATGGAGAGCTCTTTTGCTCTCAGAAAGGCATCCTTACATTGTTGCCAATTGTCTGCTGTTCCTATGTCTCCAAGGACAGATTCCCAGGGGATCTCATCTTAAAGAGTCAGTAATCCTCTGCTCTTTGCCAGGCCAGTATTCTTTGGAATCAGGAACCTAACCTGGACACGGTTACTAAAGCCCAGTGTGTCTTCATTCTTAACCTCTTTAATGATCTCCTCTGTAATAGTAAGCACCAGGTCCAGTAACACTTCACCTCTAGATGCTCTGCCCAATACCTGGACCAGATATCCTTAATGGATTCCAGGAGTCTCCTAGATTGTTTGCAGCCTGCCATTTTGCTTTCCCAGCAAAATGTGAGTGGTCAACATTCCCCATCAGGATAAGCGCCTGTGAGTGCAGCGCTTCTTGTAGTTGAAGCAAGAAGGCCTCATCCACAGTCTCTCTGTGATCAGGCAGCCTGTAGTAGACCCCGACCACCAGATGTCCTTTATTGATCAGGCACTTAATTTTAACCCACAAGCTCTCTACCTAATCATGGCTGTTTTTTAGAGGCAGCTCTTTGCAGCCACTTCTTAACACTGAGGCCACTCCTGCCCTGCTTGTCTCTTGTAAAATGTTCGTAGCCCTTGTTAATAGTATTCCAATTGTGTGATTTTTCTCACCATGTTTCTGTGTATAGCAGTTAGGTCTTAGTTCTCTAATTGTACCATGGCTTCCATCTCCTCCTGCTAAGTAATATTATGTGCATTGGTGTAGAGGCACTTCAGCTGGGCTATCAGCCATGTTACCTTCTTGGAGGAGCCCTCCCAAAGTCTTCTGGGACAAATCTGAGGTTTTCCCTTGCTTCATCCTGAAGTGACTGTGTTTCTTGGCTCTCTATCACATTCAGCAGTGCATCTCCTCCCCCATCCCCTAGTTTAAAGTTCTGCATGGTACTATTGACCAGGAAAAGAGGAACATCTTTTTTCTTAAAATAGCCAGTGTCCCCAGGAGACTTACTGCATTTACTAAGCCAACTCCTCACTGTTCAATTCATGATATATGTGAAGGCCATTCCCTGAGGCGGTGAGGCCAGCGAAAGGCACCCTCTTTAAAAGGGAAGGAAACCAGTGGCCTAAATCCCATGCTATTGAATATGGAAGATTCTGCAATACATCCACAGTTAAGCTAATTCCCACATTGAAAATCGTCATTTACCTTGGCTTGCATCTGAGTCAACATTTTTATTTGTATTTTATGCACTTAATTCTTTCAGTTTTAGAGGAAATTGCTTGAAAAACTTATTTCCTAAATGGCTGTCATGATATTCAAGTATTATGTATTTAAAATGGCTGCATGCATAATGTACATAAAGGCAGATTTAACCCTGCCATGACTTTCTGCAGTTTCACACAGACATTTAATGTATGCAAGATGTTATATTGGCATATACTGTCATTTGAATTCTCTCATTATCTTTTATTTTCATAGATGAAGAATTGAACTGAAATCAAAATGAAGTAATATGTTTACTTTATAATACATTTTGGTTAACACAGGATGAAAAATTATAATGAAATCTCATCTTTGACATATGTTTTCTTGGTGAATCTGCTGTCAGAGGAAAAATGAATTAATCATAACCTTCTAAGCTGTCTGTTGGAAATGTCTGCTTAGAAGATCTGAAAAGTCTTAGAATTTTCTAATAAATCATAGTGCCAAAATAGAAAGATCTATTGCAAAAAGATGATGCACCAAAACACCAATAAATAGGTGATAATTGAGTTGATTTAATATGCAGTAAGCATTAAATCATTAGTCAAGGCAGAAATTCTTAATTCAGAATATGTTATGAAAATGTCATCATCTGCAAGAATATCCATCTGTACACCTACTAAAAAAGTGTTGCTTTCTCAGGCATTTTTTTAAATATTCAGCTTTCAGATGCAAAATCTGCTAATTCTCACACAGTGAGAAAAAGTAATTTTGGAGATAACCTGGGGATACCTGTAACTCCCATTCTTTCACCTTTGTTTTTTTCAGTCTACGTAGTATGAGTCAGTAAAACAACCTGTTCCCAAACAGCATCCTTGTCCCATACCTTGTTTTCACTTATTCTAAACCCCTTTTGCTTCTTTGCTCCTGCCTTTGACTTCTTCAGATTATGACATCATTATTTTCAACATAAACTATTCTTCACTGGCAAGGGATTTGTACGCAGAGAACTAGAGTACTTTGGTGGGTGCTATAAAAGCTGCTATAAAACAGCAGCTTTCTTTAAAAAGGAAAATGACCAGCTACGTTTGTATTATGGCATGGGATGAGAACACAGGCTATGTAGGTTGGTTCTTGATATAGGCAGTGCAGTTGTCTACGCTATTAAATGGTTAGAGTGTGCTCTGATGTGGTGCTGGCCCTGGGCCAGCAGAAGTCTACCAGGCAGTTCTCAGAAATTATCTGGGGCTCCATACATGTCCAGATCATTCTCTGTAAGTAATATGTGTGTGGCTGTTGTGTCTTACAGAGAAAGAGGGTTGAGTTGTACGGATGTGAACTAGCTGGTCTTGGGTAACAACAATAGTTCTAGGTTTTTTCTGTTTATCAATATAGATGTAGCCATGTCATCTCACTTAAAGTTGCTAGGTAACATGCTCTGTACCAGTATCTTGTGTCAACATTCCTCCTTTTATTTAATTGAATTATCTACAACTTTACAGTATGCAGACTGTTTTTGCCTATGGTTTATTTCTTATTAACCAACACAGAATTCTATCCATGATTGCATAGCCCTTTCCTCTGTTTGTACCTCACAGCCCTCTCTAGCTTTAATAAGACAAAATATTGCGAATTTTTGCTACCACTGTTTGTGTCTCTTCTTTTTGTATACAGGACCTACAGGACCATACAACGCTGAAATACTTTATGTCATGCTGGAAACAAAAATCTACTCTATTTTATTTACTTCTTTCTCTGAGACAAATTTTATAATACAACTTTGTCTTTCATTTCAGTACATTTGAAGGTGTTGTTCTACCATTGGATTTCGTTGTATTTGTTCATATGTTCGTATAACATTTATGGAGAGCATAAAGCATGGTTTTTGGTATGTTCTCAACAGAGGACAGCAGCTCCTTAAAAAAAAATTCTGCCCATCTTTGAATATCTCTTAAACTCATGGCCAATTCCACTAAACTGCTTCTGTAACTCTTTATATGCAAAGAGAAAGTTGAACTTGAAAGATCCTGGAATAGATATTTTTCCATCTTTTGTAGTTAAAACTACATTCTCAGTGTTTAGTTAAAAGAAGCATAGTTTAGTCTAACGTATAACTTGTCTGGGCTTAGCGTTCTGAGCACTTAAATTCTTTCTAAAGAAGTAGATCTGTAGGATTCTTACATGGCATTTTAGTTTTGATAGTGTCCCCGTCCTACTGACAGATCCTAACACTCCTGAGTTCTGACCTTCTTGATTCTCAGCCATACAGAGGATGTAATGTCTCTGAGCTCTGAAACACTTCTGTTCCTCTCAAAGCTGCTATAAGCTGCTGCTGAGTCAGCTGCAGAGATTATTAGGCAGAGAGCTAGGAGCTTCATTTTCTGTGCCTTCTCAGGAACTGCCTGTGTGTGTGGTCTACATAGAGCTTAAATTATTGTCCTTCCATCACAGGCTATGTTGCTCAGATTCCCCTTTGTGATTGTATGCTGCAATCCTCCCTATTCAAACTACTGAACATTAATTTTGGAAACTGGACTGCCAATTTTTGCTATAGAAAGTATATCCCTTGTTAACTGTATGAAAGAGTGAGAAATTGTGGTTTAAAATGTCTCCTTTCACTCAGTCTTTCAGGCTGTCCGCGAGCAAAGAAGAGTGGGATCAGGATAGCACAAAGCAAGGAAGACAAAGAAGACCAAGAGCCAATTAGGTGAGAACAAATGTTGTTAAAGGGCCTTCACATGTTCTTTAACAGGTTGTATATATATTCAGCTTTTAAGACAAACGTTTTAGTTTGTAGCTATCCAAGAATATGTGTCTTAAGTATGAAATAGTTTTGCTTAATAAGAAATACATAGTCTCTAAATCCCAAGGAATTCTGCACCGGCCCATTTGAATTCAGTGACTGCAAATCAAGGATCCATGCTGATTTATTCTTGCCAAGGATGTGATCTTCTCTAATTTAAAGCAATTTGTGTCTTTCACATGAAATTCACAAGCTACATAAATCTTTATCTTCTAAAAAACCCTACAAAGTTTACATGCTGTAGACAAAACATGCATGCTAAACAAAGTAGTCACAGGAATAGAGAATTAAATACTTGTATGAAAGTACTACTTAGAATCTGACTGCTTATTCAGTTTGTAAGAAGAGGAACAAATACTTACCTATAGGCCTTTGCTTTTTTCTTGAAAAGTGCTCTGATTTCAACAGCTGCTGCACCTGGCAGCTTCAGTGACTGCTCTGAAACATTCAGAACTGGATTCTCCATGTCGTGTTGCAGCAATATTTTAGCGCAGGACAGTCAATGAAATAACTAGCCTTGTTTTGGCCTGTGCTTTGTGGTGGCATACTGACTGAAGTATTTTCTTTAAACATTTCACTTTGAGAATCTTATCCTCTTCCTTCTAACCCTGAGTGTTGTTCGGTTTGTTTGTTTGTTTGTTTGTTTTTAAGTAAATAGGGCAAATGTAGAGGGGATTCTCTAGTAACAGATTAATATGGAGCTGTCTTCACTGATCTCTTTAGGCACGCAGTGCAAGTTTGTTATAATCTCTCCAATTCAGAGAGTGGTTGTTCACATTTCTGATGCAGTAGGCACTATGATTCTGTATGATCTCTCATAATCTTACTCTTGATTTTTAATCTGACAGCATCCCTTTAGTGCAGAAAAGCATCACTCACACTGTTCATACCTAACATTTCCAGGACTTTGGACAAGGTTTCTTTAGAATCCATACGCATACTTAAAACGTAACAAGTATGACACTAAGTAGGATTTTATGGTCACAGACTTTTTATGGACAATTTCCCTACTGAGTGGAGCTCCATAGCACCATTCCAATTCCAGTGTGCTATTTACTTGTAAGAAGAACTTTTTTATGTATTAGCAAAGCTCTATTTGTCATTTTACTCTCTGGAGGGTATCTTGACTATTTTTAAGACGACAGTGCATGATTGTTCTTTTCTTTTCATGTCAGGTTTATTTTGACTTTGTTGTAGAGGCTACCAGGTATATGATGGCAAGACAATAAAGTTTATCTCATCTATCTGCTATCCAGATGTCCAGTTCCTGGTTGTGATGGTCAGGGTCATATAACTGGAAAATATGCATCCCATCGCAGCGCATCAGGGTGTCCTCTAGCTGCCAAAAGGCAAAAGGATGGGTACCTAAATGGCTCACAGTTCTCCTGGAAGTCAGTGAAGACGGAAGGAATGTCATGTCCAACCCCAGGATGTGATGGCTCAGGACACGTCAGTGGTAGTTTTCTTACTCATCGTAGGTGAGTAACCGTGGTTTATATTTTTCACTTAATTATATTATTTAAATCATATTAACAATATCTGGAATACAGCTTTTTGCTGTGAGATTGCTCTGTTCCTTTTGACATTCATTATTACTTAAAAATAGGCTTCCCATTTATGTTTTTAGAGAACTGGAAATAAGGACTCATGATTTCTTAAATGAAAATCTTTGCAAGTAGAGACCTGAATATGAATCTATAATATACAGAAGATTTTAGGGAAAAAAATGTGCATAACAATAACTGTAAATACGCTACTGTTTTATCGAGTGACTCTGAAAAAATTGCTTTGGTATAGACTTTGTAAAACACATCAGAATCCACCTCGTTTTCAGAGATGTTGAATATACTGTTGATTCACAAATGAGCATGGAATGAAAGTATTTTCAGAAACCAGTTCTATAAATATGATGTACTTTTTACTTATTTGGTAATGAAAATGTTAACTCAAAATAGTCAGGAGATTACAGAATAGAAACCCAAACAGAATACATGAGATTATTTAAAAATAATGGAATACAAATATTTGAGAAAAGGAAAACAAGGCCCTATTTTACATAAATTTAGCAAAAATAAGAGAACTTCAGAGTTAACATTTTGCATAGCTTTTAGGAGATTAGTGGATTGTCTACCAGGGATAAATTTTGTCTCTGTTTTTAACATTAGGTTATGAAGAGGAATGGGTGTTTTGGAGCTTTAGATGGGAATCTTAGTGTGAGCATGACTACAGTGCCAGGGCAAAGCTCTAACTAGTATTTCTTCAGATATGTCAAGTCGGTGTGCTTAATTTGTCACCAATCAGCAGAGTTCTCTCAGCATACATATTAGCTAAATGCAATAGTGTCTTTTATGTGTTATTTGAGATTTTATATTCTGCCTTTCATAAATAGACATTAGTGTTATGTTATTCGAACAGCTATAATAGTTGGAAACTGAAACAGCAAACTGGCTTGTGAAAATTATATCAGCTATTGAATCAGTTATTATATACAGAGAGAGAGGTTTCTTAGGCACAGATTTCTTAGAGCTGTTGTTGCACCTTGCGCTCAAGGTATATTCTGCTGATAATAATGGCCTCTTGAGATGATCCACAAAAGATGGGAAGTCAGTACTTAGATTAAAAACTGCTCCAACTGTTAATCAAATAGTCTGGCATTTAAATACATACATACCTCTGAAGAAGAAATAAGTAATCAATGGAAAAAGTCACGAACTTTAGTAAATTCAGACTCCTGTCCTATGTACAAAAGCACCAACAATGTGCTTGTTCAGTGTTTGCTTTTCCTATCCACAGAAATTCCTATGAATAGTTTTATCAAGGAATTTTGTGTAGGAAAGAATGGCAACAAGGAGTTACCAGGAGGGATTTGAAGCACGGATTTGAAATAGTACGGTTCACAGAGGAGACAGGACCAGAAGGGAAGGCCAGTGTGAAATAAAGTGACCTATTACTAATATGAAAATGAATTGGAAAGAGTCTGCAGATAGGATATAAGAAAATGCAATTTAGTTATTACACAGTGGAATTCCAAGATCTGCAAGTAAGTTTATAGAATAGGATTTATGCTTGAGCAGCAATAGGGTTTGCAAACTGGGTTTGCAAAATGCTTAGGTGTGATGGAAGAAAGTAATAGACATCATCTAGTGCCTTTTATCTGCTGAAGAAATTTAAGTAGAAGTGGTTAGAAAAAAAGAGGATTATTTTGGACTATCTACATTATACATAGGAAAGCCTAATTAATTATAAGGCTGTCAGAAAGCCAGTAGGAAGATAATAGCAGTGCACTCAGTATACTCAGGTATACATCCTGAGGTGAGGGAGCACAACCTGGGTTATTTCCTCTGAAAATTCAAGGTTGGTCTCAGTTCTGAGTTGTGCAGCTGAATTGCTAAGCCTGTGAACAGGCAGGCTAGAAGATAAAATAAGACAAAGCTCTAGACAGGAGTGATCTTCAGAAGCTGCTTGCTAGAAGCAGACTGATGCCTGCACTCATACACTTCCTCAGAGAACCTCTGAGCTCTCAAATTCCCAAGGCACCCTTGACAAACGAAATGACAAATGTCAGGAAAGAAGGATGGAGCTGTAGATTTTCAAGTGCAGAGCCTTTTTCTCATTAAATGTTTGCTAGAAGCAGACACTGTCTAAAAGAACCTTTAGTATCAACCTCCACAACTGAAGGGTAGGCTTGCAAATACCACTACGGTCAAATCTCTTGGTGCTCGAGGCTGCAGTCTGAGTCTTTGTCCAAAGGATAACATCTCAACAAAGGGTATGTCTGTGGGCTGTATTTGTGTGCAGTGTTGAAAGGGAAGTAGGTCTATAATTCAGACACTTTACATCTCTAAACATACGCTAGTGGCTGCAAATTCATTTCTAAATTGTTGGAGGGCTTTCAATTTGTGTGCTTGAAGCCATCTTCTCTCTTACCATTTGTATTTCTTAGTTTTGGAATTTAAAAGCTCAAAAATACTTAGCATTAGTTCAGTAAATGTGACTCTTAGAATTGAGCTGTATTATTAAAAGGAGTACAGCAGCAGTTATTTAAACAAAGTCAGTTCTTCAGAGCCTTAGACCTGAAATAGCTTTTGTGTTGATGCAATACAAGGCTATGGATAGACAGTAGGGCTTACATTGCTCTATGCTGTCTGAGATACTAAATGTTAGATATTCCTTTCAGTTCATGGAGAAATGAAAGAGCCTAGAATGTAGGTAGAGAGCAAGAGTCAGCTCTTTTGCTTAAGCTTACATGCAATAAAAGCTCAAATATGTAAGTAAAAAAATATATTTCTTATATTTGAAAATAAGTGCAAAGATGAAAACTCAGAAACTTTACTAAACGAATTAAAAAATGCTGTAAAGTTAGATGAGATCAGATACATGTATTGTAATCTGATAACACAGTTCACTATGGGCTAATCCAAAGTAGAGTCTTGAAAGGTACACCAATATTTTTCTGCTAAACCATTTGCCTCAGTACAACATTTCTTGAACACCTCCCTGGACAGTGACTCAGCCACCTCCCTGGGCAGCCTATTCCAATGCCTAACCACTCTTTCAGAGAATAAATTTTTCTTAATGTCCTAACATCCAGCCTTTTAAAAGCCTTTATTGTTTTTTTGTTTTTGGCTGCCTATTCAATCTCCACCCTTAATTTATTTTGCTCCTTTCTAGTTCTTACTTTTTCCTAGAAGCTCTAGGTTTCATTTCAGTGGGAGGAAGTCATATAATGTTAACAGCACAGAAGAATTAGTTAAACTCACTATGTTTGGCAGTAATTACAACCAACGGTGACAGGTGTCATCATGGTGACATTACTGAGGGATGAGAGACATGCAAATGAGCCAAGTCAAGGAGAGGATCATGGCAATTAAATATAATATATATAAAAAGAAGAAAAATATGAAATTAAAAACAATATAGTCTCATCTGGATTTCTATTCATCAGTTGCTAAATCAGGCTCCCATGCTATTTCAAAACAAGCAGTAGAGCAGACTGGGAACATTCACTGAGCCAAAGGTACAGCATCTCGTTTTTGTACATCTGTGCCCATACGTAAGAATTACTTTGGCTCTATACAATCTGTTTTTTGGTGGCCATGGACTAACTAATAAAATGGTGCCCAGGCCATGCTGGGGTGAATGTTAGTTGGCTTGAGCTATGGCATATGGACATGGTTGAGGTCATGCCCAGGCCCTGTCTGGTTGAGTAGTATAGATATCGATCTTCTAATGTTTTTCTCCTGAGCACTGACAGAACAGATCACCTGGTCTCACTAGCTGTGCTCCTAGCAAGCACCCTTCTTATCTATGCCATTCAGCCCTGAACAGGGCTGATGGTAAAGAAAGGCCCAGAGTGCTCCCAGTCTTCATACAGACAAAATAAATCATCTGGCACCCAAATACTAACACCTATATGCTGCTCATGTCCCAGTGAGATTTGTCAGAGATTTGTAACTCCACCAAATCCATGTTCATTTTCATGATGACAGCAGAATTTTTCTCTGAACTCAGAGTAATACCTCATGAAATGTCAAGTCTCACTTTAAACAGAAGTATTTACTGAATTATTGTTTTTCCCACTTCCTCCTCAATGTAAACAAAACCGTTGTATACAAATAAATTCTGAAAAATATTTTTTTCCTATGACATTTGGGATAAAAATGAGTTCAAGGCAAACTGTGAAAGACTGCAGTAAAATCAGTTAAAATTTGACAAAAGTCAGATGTGACTAAAAGCAGAGCCTGGTCCTTGAAAGAGTTAGGCTCTTAAACTGCAGGTAGTTCTGCCAGCTCTTTTCATTACAATCCAGAAGAAGGATGGAATAACATTTTAATCAAATGCACAGTCTACTAAACTGATAGACCCCTAACAGAGAGCTAATCTAGAAGGACTTAAGAGGCTTATTTACCTTGGGAAAGTCAAGGAGAAAATAATATGAAATTCATATTAGAAAAAGCAGACTGCACAATATAAGCAAGAAAAATCACTTAGCTGCTCAGAGCTGGCAAATGACAGTAGATAATAATTTGTACATGTGCTTGCAGCGTGACGTCTCCTTGATTTCAAGCACTTAGCAGAAGCTCTCTGGTTATAAGCCTGTTTGTCCTCATTACAGACACAGCCCATAAAAAAGTAGAGATCACTGTATGGCTTTTTAGATTACAGGTGGGACAAATTTTTCTCTTCAAGTTCTGGTATCTCTCTGCTGCCTAGTGAAGTTCATAGAGAAACTGCTTCTAGCTGGGCTTGGTCACTAAACAAGTTGCTTGAAATTTTTTGGCTACTCCCAAAAAATATTCAAAGGTATGTTGCTAGAGTTATACCTTACCTATTACACATAGGCAAGTCTCAGTCTTCACCTTCACAACGCTATTTGACTTACCAGTAAACCCATCAGACTTCAGATCATCTGTACTGTTACGTGCTGTAATGGGACAGTAGAGAGGTTGATAAACTTTGCAGTAACCAGAGTTGGGCC